CCATGCTTCCACATCGACGGCCAAACCGAACATTCATGGCTCCAAGGTAATGCTCTGTATTTGGTGGGATCAGCTCGGCGTAGTGTATTACGAGCTATTAAAACCAATTGAAACAATCACAGGCGATCGGTATCGAACTCAATTGATGCCTTTGAGCCGAGCATTGAAAGACAAACGGCCGCACTACGCCGAGAGATACGAGAAAGTGATTTTGCAGCATGACAATGCTCGACCCCATGTTGCAAAACTAGTCAAGACATACTTGGAAACGTTGAAATGGGAAGTCCTACCCCACCCGCCGTACTCTCCAGACGTTGCACCTTCGGATTATCACTTGTTCCGATCAATGGCACATGGCCTGGCTGACCAACACTTCCAGTCTTATGAAGAAATCGGAAAATGGATAGATTCGTGGATTACCTCAAAAGATGACCAGTTTTTTCAACGCGGGATTCGTGCATTGCCCAAAAGATGGGAGAAAGTAGTGGCCAGTGATGGACAATACTTTGAGTCATAACTTTATCTCCATTTTTTTACAATAAAGCCTCAAATTAAAAAAAAAACGGCGAGAGCAAAGTTGTACACCTAATAGTTAGAGTTGCTCGAGAAAGAAACTCAAAGATTAAAAATTGGTTCGATGGAACCCGATGATATATCGAAGGTTAATATGCAGCTTAATACAGACGTAGGAATGTTCAAACGGTTTCTTCCGGAGCGATCAGCGAGAGATAGATGTAAGGCAATCTTGCGTGTAATACGGCCAAGAAAAGTCGTCATATCTGAATGGATTAACCATTCGAGCGCGTGGCATTTTGAAAACGTTCTTTGTGAACGTCACACACGATGACGGTCGCTGTGCGAAAAATAAATACCTCTCAGCCTGCATGTAATCGAGGTTTACGCAGGGAATTTTTCTCGAAGATATGAATATTCACGAATGGAAAAAAATACATCACGATAGTCCTGCCTGGCTAAGATATGTAATGTCGGAACAATTTCATGGCAGAATAAGGAATTTAGAAAGCAACTCGTGGACGGCACGATTTTAATCGCACATGATCGCTGCCATGGTCTATTCCAAAAATACAACGAATACCCCGTTTTTCTGCATGTTTCCATGAACGTGCATGCACAGCAGTACAATGCGTTACACACAATAGGCACTACCCGAGATATACGAGGGCGGTCCGATAAGTACTTAGCCTACAAAAGAAAAACGAAAATTTTGGAAAAGTGGCGATTTATTTCTCAACATAGTCTCCTTTTAGCTCGATACACTTGACCCAGCGATGCTCCAACTTCTTTAATCCATCTGAAAAATACGTTTTCTCGAAGTCTGCAAAGGCCTCCGTGGCGGCGATGACCTCCTCATTCGACTCAAATTTCTGCCCGGCGAGTGATTTTTTCAAGTTTGGAAACAAAAAAAAAGTCGCACGGAGCCAAATCTGGAGAATACGGTGGATGGGGCAGCAGTTCGTAGTCCAATTCGACCAATTTGGCCTTGACTATGTTGAGAAATAAATCGCCACTTTTCCAAAATTTTCGTTTTTCTTTTGTAGGCTAAGTACTTATCGGACCGCCCTCGTAGATATTTTTTCCATACTGGCAATATTAGAAATACGCGCAAGCTGCGGCGTCGAAAATGCACATATCAGTATGAAATATTCTATAGCTTTCTGATATTTCTTTGTGCGTGTAGTAAATTTATATATAAACGGGTTAAAAACATATCTGATCAAACTGTTCGCTTATTGCTCCTATAAATACCTTTTGCTTGTTCTTATAATATCTTTAATATTTTTGGATTTTGCAATTCTAGCGTCTAATAAAGAAATATTATCATTATTATTATATGTAAATTTTGGCTTCAATATGAGTACAATATCCTAGTCACGCTATACAAGTCTAGTAAATTGTGCAATTAGTATGCTGCCATTAAGGGTCGTCTGTACGATAGAGGTAGTAAGACTGTCGGGGTAGGGAGTAAAGGACTGCATACATTGGAAGTAACAAGTAAAGAATGTAATTGGCTGGCAGTACAGAGTAGGAAATGGGAATGATCCATTTTGCTTAGTCCTTTAGATGCTGATGCTTGATTTCACCGGAAACTTTCCCGCTCCCTCCACCGGTCTTATTATTTCCATTGTGGACCCTTTATTCGACAAAAATTCCCTGCGTGTACCGACCGGCTAAATATGTTAATTGCATAATCAGGTCGCTGTTTCGCTCCCTCTCCCTTACGCAAATCGAATGTTCTCGCTCTCATGGAGTCCAGGATATCCCAGCGACGCTCGAGAGGGTTATAAATCGGTGTCGAAGCGGAGGGCCGCAATAGGGCGCGGCAGCGTCGTCGGCGGCGGTCGAAATTTCTTCAACGAAGTTATACGAATTGATTTAACGAACTATAACGTATGTTTATATCAATCACGCAGGTTTCCCCATACAGAAGCTGCAGAGCAGGGTGCTGCATCTGCACGTCTTCGACTACGATCGATTCTCGCGGGACGACTCCATAGGAGAGATGTTTCTGCCGCTTTGCCAGGTAATTCGGCAGGACGTGCCCGCTCGCAATTTGCGCGATTCAATTATTACACGCGGTAGACGCGCGGATTAAGGGATTCGTACGGGCGCGCGCGGGATGGTGAGGGGATTCACACGTGGAATCTGATGTATATCACGGCATTGCGCGTCTTGCGTTCTGTTACGATCAGCCCTTCCGCGCCGCCTCTTCGTTCCCGTTCCCCGAACTTATTTATCGTAAGACGTGAGCTGTCTAATTAAGGTCGACAGGCTTCCGTCGCGAGAGTGTCATCGGGAAGTCATGCGAAAAAAAAAACACTCGTTCGCCGCGAAAAATCCGTTCTTTCAATCATCGCGTGAAAATCGCTTTAATCCGGAGCGAAAAGGATTATATAGATTGAGGCAATAACTGTTTTGTCATATTGAATATCTCCGGAATATGATAGCGTGAGGAAACTTTGTCTATTGCATCGATGCCAATGGTCGTCGAATACCTTCTGTAAATGTAAACTTTCGTCATCTTTTTATCCAGTCGTTAATAAAGTCTTTTTGTTTTTCGAAGATATTCAAAGTGGTGAGTGTTATCGCCTCTCTTTTTCTTCCTGTATGATCACAATTCGTGTCGCAAATATCTGCAATATCCTGTAATCCATTATCGAATCGGTGACATTATCGACACGACGACTTTAATTCCAGAATTTCCCTGCCGAAAACGTCTCGCCTCTTTTGCTTTCGTGTATTTGCGTTTGAACGAAACGATTTTAGAGACTGCTCTCGCCTTATTACCTCGGGAACCAATCGGATTTCCGCTGATCGCTCCTTACGTATGCGTGGAAACGGTGCGAGGGGGAGGGAGGTGAGTTTTAATTTGCTAATCGTGCCGTGAGACCGCTTAACAACCGTCCACTCCCCAATATTGCCGAACGACGAGTTAATCCGCGCGCATAATAACATCGAAATATATATGCGGGCATTATAATTTACACGCTATGCACACATTCATTTCCCAGGAGCAATCCGTGATACACGCTGACATTGCGAATCGGACACACCTCGGGCGTCTCGTGCGTCTCGTCGCCGCGTATGCAGCCGGATTTGAACGAAAATATTTCTCTTTGTCAATATCATGACTGCGTACAAGCCTATATATTAGAATAATAGAGGAGAAGATGGTATTATAGCCTGCCTCATTTACATATTGTACAATAACTTTGTTAATAATCAATATTTGAAGTTGAAAATCTAACGATTACATTGGTTAAAGTGTTGTTCAATCGGTTCTCGGCTCAAAGTTATGAAATATTTATTATTCAGGACGATATTTATATATTAAAATATGACGGCATATAATGGGTCGAAGAGAAGCAAGAAGTGGTAATGGGATCCCTTACTAAAATAGATATAAAAAACACAGGTTTTTTGTTATATATTTATTCAAAATAAAAGCTCTCTCTTAGGAGGAACGACAATAAATATAACCGTAAAGTTTTAATATGATACCTGTCTTACCTATCAGAAAGATAATTTCTGCAAGACGATTCGAAATACTTTAAAGCAAAAATGTGTTATAACAAATACCGGCTATTATTTATCGATATATTAACGCCACTGCATAACAGCGGGTTACTAAACAAATGATTCCAATGAGTAATCGCTAGAAATCGCCACTTAATAACGAAGACATCGAGAGGAGTCATTACACCCACAAAGGTCGTAATACCACCTTCTTCTTTATGAATTAATTAAAATGTGCAATATAAAGGAGTCACACAAAATAATATGCGTTCGACTCCGGGAACAACAACGTAATCGCCCGGAATCGAATTCTGCACGAGCGATTCATGTCGCGCGATTCGACGACGGGCTCTGTCCGATTCCAGAGACGTGTTTACGTTGCATATTCCGCGTTCCTAATTCGCATTGTACGTAATCAATTAACTATTTCGTCTGGATATGATCGCTTCGGATGGAATACGTAATTGGATCGCGTCCGCTGCATTTCTCAATAAGAGGCAAACGTGATGGAGATAATAACGATAACGCGCGGCAAATGTTTCCCGAGGGGGCCGTCTAGTTTTTGGCGAGGCGTAGAAATACGTGCGTGCGTGCACGCACGCACGCACCTCAGAAGCTCTCCTAGTTTCTACTTTAATTACATTATTTCTCGAGCTTTATATCTCTTTCGTTGCGACAATTACGCGCAGTTTCATCCGCGAAAGTAGCGGCCTGTAGGAATTAATTAAAACTATTCGAATCGAAAGTGTCTCCTTTTTTTCTTTCCTCCGCGAAGTTTCATATTTCGAAATTTGAACTCGTTAATTTGCACTGGTGGATTAAGTCGTAGGATAGGAGCGATTTGGTATATCGGCGATATATCATGGATTTGTTGTCGCAGGTTGACCTGTCGGAGAAACCATCGTTTTGGAAGGCCCTGAAACCGCCGGCTAAGGACAAATGCGGGGAACTCCTCTGCTCGCTGTGCTATCATCCGAGCAACTCCATACTGACATTGACCCTCTTGAAGGCGAGGAATCTCAAGGCTAAGGATATCAACGGAAAATCAGGTATGTAACTCGACGTTTCTCGTCTCGTACGAGTTGCAAATGAGCTTTCGGATTCTCTAAATTTCCTGAAATGAAATTTCATTTGAAGCCACTGAGAGAAAGAAATATAACTCAAGTAACTGTAATCTCACTATATTCTATAGTGAATTTTAGTCTCAACTACACGTTTATGGTTTTTTCGATCATGCAAAAGATAGCAAAGCGAAAATCGGATTTATAGTCATAATAACTATGACTATTTGTGCAATTATATCTTATGATTGTTACGACTATATCGAGGTGCTGTTCCACGCTATAATTAGTTCGTTTGTGTCGTCTCCGAGTTAAATTTGTGTAAGGTATATATAAAATCGATGGATGATCGTTCTTAACGATAAACTCGCAATTCCAGATCCGTACGTAAAGGTGTGGTTGCAATTCGGCGACAAGAGGATCGAGAAGCGTAAAACTCCAATTTTCAAATGCACTTTGAATCCGATATTTAACGAGGTATTCTCCTTCAACGTACCATGGGAGAAAATCAGGGAGTGCTCCTTGGACGTGATGGTGATGGACTTCGACAACATTGGGCGGAACGAACTGATCGGCCGGATTCAACTCGCAGGTATTTCGCAAGAATTTTGCGATAACGTGTATCCTTCCGAAACGTCTCTCTCCCCCCTCTCTCTCTCTCTCTCTCTCTCTCTCTCTCACTCTTTCAATCATTGGTTTGTCGATAAAATGCAGAAGTTCTAACTTCGATACTCGAGTTTAAAGTAACGCGCTAATGCGATAAGTTGTTCGCGGAGTTTCATTAGTTAGGAGGGAGAGAGAATGAATACACGTGTAATTTCGCTCGGGGTATCTAGTTGACGGAATGTGGGTTCACGTCGTTCGAGAGTTTTCGAGCTCGCTTCGAGTCCCGCCGAAGAAATTAATCAGCTCGGTGTCGCGTCGAGTGTTAATCCTGTATATACTTACGGTCAGGCTCGCGCGTCCGGGATTAGTCCGACTGACCCGGCATATTCGACCGATAAATATTCGATATCTCGGCCTGTGAAACAATCAAGACTTGAAATTCTCTCTTGTTCGCGTCACGCGTTGACCGAACGGTATATGCGGACAGAGAATTCCGGTAAGTCGCGAACAAGTCACGCATTCGGGCAAGACCGCAAGAAATTGGAGTACAACAGGGTGTGTGTGCAGTGTACGCGTATAAATTCTTTTCCAGGAAAGAATGGAAGCGGCGCGAGCGAAACGAAGCATTGGCAGGACATGATCACAAAGCCGAGGCAGACCATTGTGCAGTGGCATCGCTTGAAGCCCGAGTAAAGAACACGCTTCCCTCTTGATCCACGATAAACGATATTCTGTCGAGCGAGTTCCCCGGACGGGCAACACCCGTCGTCGAAGTTACGTTAACGAGGCAACTTTTCTCCTTTTGCTCGATATCCCATTCGACGATTGTACGATATTCCTCCCATAGCCCTGCATCGTGTAACCGGACGCGCTCCGAGCGACGCTGGCCGTTGCGAACGTTGTCGCTCGTTGCCGACCGTCCATCGCATTAGCGGTCTGCGACGAGTGACAACGAATGAATTAATCTTCTCACTTTCGCGTTACCAAGCGCGTTCTTGTCGGGTTGGCCCGGCTGAGAGAAACGTAATGGTGTGTCCAGGCGTTTGGTACCGCCGAGATCGATTACTGAGAAATCTTGATGAAAACACAGCCAGAGACGGTCGGCAACGAGCGACTAGGTCGTTTTAATGGCGGTGTTTCTTCGCATCGAATCAGAAAGAGAAGACGAAAAGCAGCAGCGACGAACTTTCTCGAGTCTTCTGCCATTCCCAACGAGGATACGGAGGATTCGCTGAGGCTTCGTCGAAAACGCCACTTTCTGTTTCTCACCCTCCTGCGTGTCGTCCGGTGCGGCGAAATGATACCACGGCTAATCGGTTCTCGCTCGCTCCGGGACGAGCGTGAGTTCACCAGGAGCACCCGTGGTGGGTTCTGAACTCCCTCGCGCGCGACACGACGACGGGACGACTCTCTCGTGTCGTTTGAGTTTACGGGCGCTTGAGCGACGAGATTACGTCGGAATATTGTCACGAGACTCTAAAACTCGACGGGGGCGAGCGGATGAAGGAGATACGGCTCTCTGTACTTTGCGGGATCGGCGTTACTTTCGCGGCTAAATTAGCGTTACAGTCCGTGTAATATCAATTTAGCGATGTGATAGCGCTTAGCGAGGAAGTTCGGGGGGTCTAATACGTAATAATAAATTTCGCTACTGTGATCATTAACTCGAGATTAAAAGGGAAAAAAGGAGAGGTGGAAGAGGAAGGCGATAATTGTGAAACAATATCGTGAGACGTGTTGCGTTCCTCCGCTCGACCGTCTGATCTCGGGGAGCATTAATCGCGTCGACGAGACATCGCGGAACCAAAGCCGACGAAGCTTCCTAAAGTCCCACGAATACCACTTCAGCATGTGGTGTAACTCACGAGTTCACGCAGCTCCGTAATATTGATATTCGCACGAAATATTATATTACAGTTGCGTGTCAAAGTTACACGGTTATCTTTTGAACGTTACGCCGCACTCCTTCGCGCATTGACGCGTTTTATATTTTTATAGTTTTCGAAGTGTGTGCTTAAAACGCACTTAAAAAAAGCGCATCTTGGAAAACTGGAAGTGACAATATCCCTCGATTGTTTGCGGTATAATTAGTAGTATCTGACTTTTTTTTCTCTCTGACGACCGACGAGTTCCGCACTGACGTTTCGCAACGCACGCCACTTTACCGATTTTCCCCGCGAGCGGAGATCCGAGGGGGATCCCGCGCGCGATCGTATCCTCGGATGATCGTCGCTTGCTGTACATTCTTCTTACGATTGCACGTACGAGTCACTCTCTTCGGTCGCGTTCAAAAACAGTATGCACATATATCTAAAGAGGAGAGGGGGGGGGGGGCGAAGTAGCCTTCGCAATTGCATCGAGATTTACGTCCAACGTGGCTTTCAGAACTACTCCGCTAACAAAGTTTCGAAACCCGCGCGACCTCATCGGGGGCAACCTTACTTACGGGTTGCAGTTATTTACAGGCGATTCCTCTGTGTACCACCTTTCGGGATAATCCGGTTTAGAGTGGACTTTAGAAGTTAACCTCGCCCGAGGGTATTCCGACTTTACGTGCAATTTTCTTTCCATTTTCCGGCGGGAGTGGCACTCGTGAATATTAATTTCCACCAGCCAGCGAAACCGTGTGTGTACCGAATATATAGGCGAAGATTGTTAAGATATAGCGCTAAGTTTCATAGAAAATGAAAAAAAAAGAAGAAGAGGAGTCGAATGTTCGCGGACGTAAAGGACGTATTACAAGTAGTAGTTTCCAACGTTGATCTTTGTGATGTAGGACGCTTCGAGACTGCGAAAAAAAAATAAACAAAATACAACGGGCGAGATAATAAGTAATAACGTAAAACTGTTATACACATACTACCAGAGCGTGTCCTTCCCACGGGCGACGAACATTTTTCGGGACAGTCCGTAGGAGACAAGTGACATTTCCGACATCGTAGGGATGGGCAGTTATGCGAGTTATCGGCTTTAATTGTTAAAAAGTAGAAAACGAAGAGAAGAAAAGGAGTATTTTGAGGAATCGTACAAACGGTAATGGAATTTAAAGGTGCGTATTTATCTAGCGAAAGAACAACGAATCAACAGCGAATGCAAACTTTCGTTGTTACATTTTGGAAAATGTTGTGACAAATTGTATGTTGTGACAAATCCGAACGGGTCGGTCTGCTCATAAAATAGCTGCTTTTATCAGACGGTTTGAAAGAAAGTTCGTGCGCGAATACATCACATATTCGCTAGATGTGCACGCACCTTTACTCGCACGGATTGAAAACTAAGGCGACCCAGTAGGGCGACCTGTAATCAGGGAAACTTCTCGGTGCTCTTTAACGCTGCGTAAAAACGGTGTGAAATTTACGGACCGGAACGTTCTGGTTTACGTTCCGGCCATCTTCGACTTTATTACGTCATACTGGAGGAGAGATCTTCCTAGTGGATCGCCTGGCTTTTGCTTCTCGCAAGACAGGTGTTTCGCCCCCGAAATTTTTATACCTCCATTCGATAGAAATAACAGTCGAGCAGCGATCGATTATTTCGGCTGTATACAGCGTTGGATCTAACGAGAAATTAGGAAAGTCCGTTCGCCGCTCGACATTATCGACTTTGATGTATCACGTTCGGCGAAAATTATTCTTGCATGATCGGCAATAGTTTAATATTGACGGGTGCGACCGATTACTCGGCGAGAATGGAGAAATACGAAGGAAAAGGGAAAGAAATCTAATTAATAACTTGGTTCTTTTTCAAATCGAAACCAAAGAATTCTTTGTCGAACCGTCAATTCGCCCATCCCTACTTTCTTGTTAGTTACGCTTGGCTAGCGTTGATCGTGATTACTACCGAGATAACTTACACGAATCCCCTTTGGCGTGACTTTTGGTTATTACTGAAGCTCGATAAAAGAAAAGAAAAGGAAAGAGTGGAAGAGAAAAGGAGGAAAAGGAAGGGAGAGAGAGGAAGAAAGAGATATTTTTGACGGCACTTTTTGTATTGACAAAGTCAGGGCGACTTTTGGGGATTATTCACGCGCTAAAGTACGATTGGTGTACGCTCTTTATACACCGTAAAAAAGAAGAAGAAGAGAGAAAATAATGTTACGTTATACCTGATAGTCTGCTGTTGTTAACAATAATATAGAAACACGAGTCAAATTCACGCGCGAATTTGCTCGGTACACTCGGAGAGTGTACACCGTTAATGAAAAATAAAAAAAGGACAAACGATTCATGTTGTATCTAAACCAAGTTTAGCGTTAAGCGTCGCTCGTGTCCGAGAAGATCGTTGGCGCAGACGAAGCGTCCGACGTTAATGGTGGACTTATCGCGGGATAACCGAGGAGAGGAGCCTCGAATGAGATCGTCGCTCGTCTCGAACGATTTGCACGCGTTTAATTAATTCAGTTTTCGCTTCACGTTTGTACTTGTTTCAGACGTGGGAACGCTAAGCGACAGGTGACATCGCAATCGCTCATATTCCGGGCTTTACGGTAATTCATTACCATAAAGAAATTCTGCGCGTTTGATTGTTTCGCGAAAAATTAAAAGAAAAAAGAAAACAACATCTCCGACGGATGAAATCCAAATGGGAGAGGAAAATTCGCGAGAAAGCTCTCTTTCACTCCTCAATATTCGCCGCTTTGGTAAACTCGCTTTTTCTTTTCTTTCTTTGAAAATCATACACATGCGTACATATATATACATATATAGATCCAATTTTGCATTGTTACCGTAGCAATAAAGGCAACTTCGGTCGATGCGTGCAGAAATGAGCTCGTAGTCGCGGAGTTTACCGTGTGTAAACTTACAAACGGCGCACATACCAGCGACGAACGCTTTCCACCAATGAACTTACCGAACGCGAATGCGACGCTTTAGTAACATTTCCTCGCGTACAAAACGAGTCACCGGGATATCGCAGATATCAGAATATCACGAGGTTTTAGACAACACGGTTTCTTTCTTATACATTCGGCATGATGAGAGTGGAAGAGAGAGAGAGAGAGAGAGAGAGAAAGAGAGAGAGAGAGAGAGAGAGAGAGTAGCTTGTTATTAAAGGGTTCATCCATTTTCCCCGTCGACTCCTCGCTCCCTTTCCTCATCCCCACCTCCATCCATCCTCCCCCCACACACATTTCCTTTTACAATCGCGACAAATATATCCCGGAAATATTTTTACATTTAAGCGTTACATTTAGGTCGAAGGTGTTATCGATTTTTCGTAATTACAGCAGCCTTCTGCCGCGCGTATACGCGGAAGAGAGATGATATTGTAGAGATTAGCGAAACACGGTGAGAGCGCGAGTAAAAGAATAGTCTGTTATATGTATATATATATATATATATATATATACATATACATATATACATACAACATGTGAGTAAATGGTTATATTGGTATATATTATGCGGAAATATCGAGTAGCACGAAGATTAGATTAATATTTGTATGTTGTAGCCTGTATACATTGTATATATATAAGGTACAGAGTGTTTCCCGGTTAACGTATCACGTTAAAATTATGGTATAAAAAAAAAACATGGGTATTTCGAAGTTCGTTATCGCGAGAAACCAAAAAAGGAGAGAAACTTAGCGAAACCTTTACTGTGAAATAAGTAGGATCGTTCCTAGCGTTTCGTGTGTTACACAGGGTGTTAAAGAAAAAAAAAAGTAAATAAAAAAAGATACGATCCTCCTTCTCTTTTAGTTACCTTGGTTCGGTATATGCACTTCAAAATTATTTCTCTCGCGTATTGAGTTACGATCCGATGAGTTTCACAATAAAATCGACACGACAGATATCTTGACTCAAAATACTTATCGGTTTACCGTAATCATATCTTTCCGTTTCCTTTTCTCCTTTCTTCTCTCTCTCTCTCTCTCTCTCTCTCTCTCTCTCTCTCTCTCTCTCTCTCTCTCTCCCCTTCTCTCTTTTTATTTATTTCTTTATTTTTCTTTTTTTATTTAAGTTTGGTCAAATTTACTGGACCTTATTATTTTGTCGAGATAATATCGACACGTTTGACGAAAGCGCTTTCGTATCGAAGCGATTTTCCCGACCTGCTTCCCGTGCGATCATAACGCGAAAACAATAAGGTGCCAAAAGAATTTAGAACACGTAAGATCATCCTTCGCTTGCCGATCATGTCATGTGAGTCGCGTTATACATATTGACAGAAGAGCAGAAGGATAAATACGCGCGACGGGATCTGTCACGGAAGGAATTAGGTGTGCTTGCGTGCGTTTCAATTTCTAACGTGGATCAGAGGCATCGAACGTACGTCAATATTGGTTGCATTCAGAAGACGCAACAGTATCACAGTTAAATAATTCGTCAATATAATTGGTCTAAATTTAGGGATCTAACATTAAAGACCAATAATAACTGACCACTCACTGATCGCTTGTGTTTTCTGAATACAGCCGCTGTCTTCGCTTTGTCAATGCGGAAGTATAGCGAACTGTTTGGTGAGTCGAAGACAGCGTACGCTCGCGGTGTTTTCAGTTTTCAGCTATACTCGAAATTTAAACGTATAAATTTACGTTCCCGTTTGACATTTTTACGCACACTGCGTTGCTCTTGATTTCATCACGGAAAGAAATAATTTAGAGGGATAGCAAATTTGATGTAGCAAATAAATATACGAAATGTTTCCTAAATATTGTCCAGTATTGTAGAAATCGATTCTTGAGGTTATTAAACTATGTTATCACATGTAAGCTTTTTATTTATAAAATGACCTCCAAAATCAACTACTAAAATATTGGACAGTGCTTAAAAAACATCTATATATTTATTAACCTGCTAAGACAGTATAAAAAAAATGTGTTCTTCCCCCTAAATTATTTTTCTTTGTTTTCTTACCCTCTACGTTCAGTCGAAGTATGTGGTGTGTGGCCGCACTGTATTAATACTTGTGTCATATTCCGAATGCGAATTCGATAAATCGCACGCGTGCAGCCTCGTGTAAATAACTTAGCAAAGTATCGGCGAGTTAGTAATTATTTCGAGCAACTCTGGGTTTCTTTTTTCCAGAGTATCCGACTAATAGAAATCCGTTAGACTCACGAGAGAGAAGCGTCAGTTGAACATGTCTCTGACATTTGCCATCGCACCCATTCTCAACACTCCTCCTAATTATTTCGATTCGTTGCTTCTGCCAGACATTATATTACTTTCCGCAACGATTCAATCTCATAAACTCCCTCCATTCTCCTCTTCGATATCCCGATAATCCCCTATTATTTCGTTTCTTCTCCCGTTACGTCTTTTCGTTCGTTCGTTCGTCGGTTCTTCAATTACCATGGTTTTAACGTTCGTTATAGACTGGGTTGAACGTGTGTAACGTTTAACTACCTAGCGTAAGGTGAAATGTCTCGTGTATGTTAGGTATACTAATCCGTATCGTGATACCTATATGTCGAAGTGTAGTCATAGTATTAATCTAGCTGAAGAGAAATCGAGAGGAAGAGTAAACGATGAAGCGACGGCGAGATTGCCGACAGAGACGTTCGATGTTCGATGTTCGACCTTATGTTGCGCAGGCTTGCAAAATATATTAATTAAGTACTTAAGGGTGAATAGAGCGAAGGATGGAGTGTTGAGAGAGAGAGAGAGAGAGAGAAAGGGGGAGTATCACTTAGCAAGTAAAACGAACATGCGACAGTCTGATGCGGAAAGTGACGTGGGCCTTATATCATGGATTACCTCAATTGTAAGCAGCTTAAAGATGCGGTTTCGTGCACGTGACGATGTCAAAACGTGATGATTTCAAACGAAAGAAAAAAACGAAACAAAAACGGTAGTAGAAGAGAGGAGACAGGAAAAAGAAGAAGACGAAGAAACAGAAAAAAATGTATTCGCGATTCGTACTAGATATTAATAAAGGAGCCATTTTATCTTCCGATAGCGGTTCGCTGTTGCACGATATTTCTTCCGAGTTGTGTATACGGATATTTTACCATCGAGCCCGGAAATCAGGGACTCGTCTTCGATACTTTGCACTCGACGAACTGTTTGCCAGGCCCTTTCGCGATGCTGTACAAACGACGTTCCAAGTGAGGACAATAGAACGAAAGCGTCGATCACGTATAATCGGTGCGAATCGAAGTCGATTTTTTATCTAGCAATGAAGTTGAGAAGGTATGTTGCGGCTTTTCGATTTCGCAGGATTGGAGACACGCGATTTTTCTGAACAGCCCGGACTGTGAAACGGACCGTCGAGTGCAAAGCGTGAAACGCCGAAAGATCGTAATGCTTATGCTTGTCGTCCGGAAAAAAGTGCTCGTTCACATTGATAATACCTCGACGAGCGAACCGTGGCTCGTCTCTCTCTTGCGTTTCATTCGTGTTGGTTTTCGAATAGCCTTATAGATTCACTTTGGCATCCCCTTGCCGATGATGATCGGCACGATATTCACGGTTTCTTTGAGCGAAAGAACAAGGACGGATCAGCATTAATCATTCATGGCTCCTTTTATTTCTCGTCACACGGTACACTTTGCGACAGTGAACCAGCAACATATCCCTCAAACATGTACATATTATATATATCATAAGTGTTAAATCGATGCACATGATTACGTAGACACGCCAGCGTGCGCCGAGAGAGAGAGAGAGAGAGAGAGAGAGAAAGAGAGAGAGAGAGCGATCGATTTTCCGGATCACCGAAAACGCGCAAAGCGGCGCGACTCAGCGGAGTCGCGATACAATATTGTATTTTAATAGCTTGTACGATCCGTCTGTGTTGCTTCAGAAGCGCGCGATGCGAATTAGCGAACGCGAGTCAACACGCTGTTTAGCGGGATGAAGGAGAGGAAAAAAGAAAAAAAAAAGAGAGAGCGGTCATCGAGAATTCGCTTCATACCTGGTTGGATACGCAAACCATTTTGGCTATTTTTTATCGAACGCGCGCGCATTGGTCGAACGTTAGCGTTGCATGTACGCACATTTATTGTACGTTGCTTTTGCGAGGCTGACTTCCTTTGAGTGTCGTTGTTGTTTTCGTAAACATTGAAGGCCGTAACAAGATATTCCATCATATTGCGTTCCGTCATGCGTTCTCATAGACTTTTATCGTATCGGAAGAAAAAAGTTGCGCCACAGACGAAGAATGAAAATTATTTTCAGCAAAGTATCTAAGAATTCAGAATCACCATTTCACCATATATATCCGGAAACTCATTCTAAACGGAAAAAAAACACAAAAAAAGGAAGAAAGGCAAAAGAGAAGGGAAAAAGTACGACACAAACGCTTTTAACGATCTGACTTGAAATCGATCGATCGCAGATATTCCTTTAACGCGACATCATTGTGCGCAATTATTCATTATGATACTTCGATTGTGTCACAAAGTATACTTCTCTCAGATGAAAAATAGATGTCTAAATCGAATGAAAGTTTACGACGAGAGTGATTATTTTTCTTAGCGATCTGTTTCTACACACACACGTACACGTACGAACGATTATATTTTTGATTAAAGTAAGGTTCTCTAGGGAAAAGCAGATAGAGACGAAAGAATCGACGCGACGGTATTTATATTCGACAGATAATTTTATTACGACCATCAATATTTTTGCATCTGATTTATACATACAGACTGTACAGAGTAGAACGAGAAGAGGGATGCAAAATGTGGTGTCGTTGCTTCGATATACACCCAGCGGCGTTACAACATGCGTAACTCACGTAATCCTCCCGGATAGACGATAGTAGTCCCGGAAAAGAGATTAAAAAAAAGGAAAAAAAAGCGAAACGAAATTCGGCGCGATCGAGAAGACGATATTTTTGCTGCGTAAATGAATGAATTGTTCGCGATGATGATGTATGGCGAAGAGAGGAGAGAGAAAGCGGGAGAGAAAAAAAAGTGGAGACGGTAGAGGAGAGAATTTGACGCGACCGTATCTCATAATATATAAACGAAGACTTACGGCGTGTATACATTACATTACCATTTTGATAAACGGTATTGTATCATGTACCACTTATAATTATATGTTTGGCCGCGATTGCCCGAATACAGAGTTAAGCTGATTGAGAGCGGTCAGTGAGCCAACAACATGTTAATTCACTGAGGGATTAATAATAAACGCGATTATGATTACGCAACGATGTATTTCTTGCATTTTTTTTAGAGGGGGCAAGCTTTCAGTGAGAAATATATTTCGTGGCCGCGCAACCAGTGGTGCCTTCCTCCGTTGATGATTCGATTTATTTTCACCGACGAGCTACGACGGCGTCACGACGAAAGGTTTCAACAGCTTGAAAGGTTGAGGCTCGCTTTTCTATTGAATTTCTCAGGACGACATGCTGATCACGTTAGTGCGACCGAGAAGTTCGGCGACGGTGCTGACCAACTTAAAGGAGACACTCTTCATCAGAAGTCGGGTCTTCACACCGGCGTTCTGTAGCGCCAAGTTGTACAAATCGGAATAGAACTGTCGTAAAAAGAACACGTTTTTTCTGCTCTGTTTATTGTAACATTACTTCAAACGATTTTTTTTCTCAATGATCCGCATCAGACAGATGTTTACCTTTGATTTTTCACCGTCTAAGGGCGCGTCGGAGAACTCGGAGCTCACCTCGGTGCAAGCTACCGTCATTGTTCGCGAAGGAGTCACCAACAGAGTTGCGTTCGTTTGCTGTAAGAAAACTAGGCAATCATTACGAGCTGCTTACAGTAAAGAATATGAAAAATCAATCATAACGTTAGCAGCGTTTTTTGTCTCTTTGAGTACTTTTTTTTATACGGAATCTTGAATACAAAGCAAAATCAATCATAACGTTAGCAGCGTTTTTTGTCTCTTTAAGTACTTTTTTTTATACGGAATCTTGAATACAAAGCATTTACTTATAATAAACTATCTCTTCATTATTTCTCATAATTTTTCAATTTAATCTACTGAAAGGTTATTTATGCAGGAAAACACCCACTCGCTGGTCACTCGAATTTGCAAGAGTGAGATCTCTCGCTCCGATAAACTTAGAGAATAATACCTCTTTCGCGAGGCATCCATGCAGCTCCTTGAATTGTATGACGATTTCGCGGCAGTTCCGACTGGCGTTCCACCGCGACCAGGAGAAGGTGTACGCCGTGCAAAGCAGGGCCATGCATTCTCGCAGATGCTTCTCCGTCACCGGATGTTTCACCGGGAGAGACTTCACGTAACTGCAGGCGTCCCGCTCCGGAAATAGGTCGCATCCAGCATCGCGCATTTTCTACATCCGAGAAGAGAGAAGCAAAGAGAGATATCTTAGTAAACTCAATCGCTATTTTTATTATCTCTTCAGCGTTTCTCGGGATCTAGAAGCGAAGGATCGAAAGTTTAGTTTCCCGCGAACATGAGAATTTGAAAGAAATTTCCGCTAAGATAGTTTCTACGCGTCGCACTTTTCGCTCTATTGCGAAGATATAAGCCAAGCATTCGCGAAATGTGAAAAGTTTCTACCTCAACCAGGAAGTACAGCCTCATATATTCCCCGAGAATGTCCTTTATCGCTGCCGACATGCCGCCGGCCAGCGAATTTAAGCACACCAAGTCCTCCTATGAGAACGAACGACGTTATCAAGCCCGTTTATGCGAATCTTGCCTTCCTGACACGAACACAAAAAATACAACGATATTTCGTATCTAGAAGTCGGACGAATGACCTACGCATGTTAAACTCGTATTTCTTGTGTTCTCAAGCGGATTATAGAGCTATAAAAGAGCTTTGAATATACCCGGACTATAAATTCCGCTTGAACGATAGCGGCGGACACATTGAGCGCAATGCCGCCGCGCGCGTGCCTGCCCATTTCGGGTTTGAGCTCCCAACTTTGGAAGGGAACGTTGATGAATTTAAAAGCAGCAAACCCGTGAACGCCCAGCCTGCCGGTTCTGAAGGTAATGGTCTGCTTCTCTTCGTTGTATTTGATGTCATGCACGTCCTGCGTGGACCACATATTTCTCTCGGGAATCCAGTGCGCCACCAACGGCGGTTCAAACCAGATAATCGAACTGGGAAGTCTGCGAAGAACGACTTCAAATATAAGGTCTGTTCTTTTTAAATAGCGAACCGAACTTTTTGACTAACTCGATGAAATTTACTTCAAAGTTACTAGCGCCAGAGCCTCCATCGCAGTTTCCAGAGCTTTCATTTCCGCCTCGATCACCTCCGGTGTTCTCTCGGAGTCGGGTGCCGGAGGCGGTGCTTTGTACGGCTTCGAGAACGGCACGAATTTCAGTTCTTTTGGAATTTGTACTGCAAAGAGATTATTTATAACATTTGCCGAGAAAATCCGAATCTGTACGCGATTGATTCAAAACGATTGTTTGATCTGGCTCTCAGAATCCTTCACGTTTTATAATCTGGAATATGTGCATTAATCCGGTAGCCATATCAAGCGTTTCGCTTGAATTAAAACGATTATCAGCTCACGAGTGGTAAGCATAAGGTTTCTCCCCATATCTTTGGGTTGCGGCGGCTGATAAATTAAATCGATGTGTATCACTCCGCCGAGTATTCTATATTTTCGCAGATTGATCTCCGTCTTCTCGCATCGCGTGAATAGCAACTTTCTAATCTCCTTCCTAGTTTCCTCTGGGAATAAGATAGAAGTAATAACGTTTATCTCGATAATAATTTTGCTATCACCACCAATGACTATACCCCAATAAGAAAGCATTTGTGAAATTATATGACGAAATCTTGTGTGAAATCTGTACTGCTACAATTATGCGGGTATTGTTTCAGAAAATATAGATAAAAATATTATATATAATTTGTCTATCAGGGTAATTAATATGCGATATAAAAATAATTTATTTTAATTGTAATTAATTTTCAATTAACTTTAATTTTAAATAAATAAATAAATAAAATTTAGTTCTTGGTTTGTATTTGATTTCTTTTCTATCTTCGGTGCATCTTAAAAAATTACGAGTTCATAAGTTCGAGAGGCACGAAATTAACGATAACGCTCGTTGAGAAACGTACCATCTTTTTGTAGAATGATCTCGTCAGGTGTAGGCAGATACGGCAAACATTTCATTTCCTGTATCGGTTCTGGTTTTGCTTGAACGCCCAGTTTCTTTTGCTGCTTCCCCTTACGATCGAGTTTCGTAGATTCCAGTTCCGGCGGATGTTCCATTCTCTCAAGTATAGCTTTCTTCTCCTCCAGCCGCAGGCGACGTCCTTCGGCCTGCTCATCGCGTATTTTCAACTTCGTGTTATATTCGTTCTGACAGAAGGTAGGAAAGTCTAAAAGATAGACGAGAAGAAGATTCATGTCGTGTCTCCTTACGAATATAGAGAACATCGACGATATGCGCGACAGGTGTCGGCAAGTGAAATCCTTTTGCGATTTGCCTCGGTTATTTTATCGGCAAAGCGTGGCGAATTTTTCCTAGAAAATCTTTTCGTAAGATCGATTTGCCGTCCTTACGTAGTTAGAAGCTTTCACCGACGATAATATTTTAATTTACAAAGCACATCATATATTTTTTCTTCCAATGACATTTTTTCTACAAAGTTTTCCATATTTATCGTGCGTGATTGGTGTCCAAGAATCGTAAGAATCGATCAAGCAAAAACGACTTTTTCCAAAGCAACGAGTTATCCCTATAGTAAACTTCATAAATAGCGAGCTTACTTATAATATAGTTGCTTTTATATTTGTCCGGCAATTCCGGCATGACGTGCGAGATCGCGCGATCCGAATAATGATCATACATCACCCATAATGCTCGTATCGCCATGCAATAGCAGTCAATGTCAGTGGGCATTTTGACGGTCAGTTCCATTTCTTCGAAGTGTACCTCGATTGGTATTCTGCCCGAAACAACGTTGAAATAAGCCAACATATATATACTGTATCTTCCATATATATATATATATATATATATATATA